TATGTTGAGCGAGCTTCAAATGCCTCGCAAATGATATCAGGATGCGAATGGCACAAGGCGCTGAGATACCGATAGAAAGATGTACCAGCAAGCAAGAAGTCTGTAAAGGAAAATTCCTTTTTCTTGCAATTTCACATGAAATCAAATTATTCATATTGTGCCCAGCAATCATCACATATTTAAGACGCTGCGTATTACTGCTTAACGTATGGCACCTGTCCTCAATTACATGCAGCACTTCTGGGTACACACGAATTCCGTTCGTCGCGCAGCAGCCCTGCGCACTCCTTTTGGAATTGTGAAGCTTTTCAGTTTCTTTGTATTTGAAATTGCTACTGCTGTCTCCAAATTTAGAGCGTGACGGCTAAGCAAAGAACAGAATTTTTTACACCTGTAGGTAACATTGAAATTCTCCCCAACCGAAGTGGAAGAATGCCGTCGGGTGATCACGTGCGACATACCAAATCTCCCAGACGACCAGGATCCCGTTGCCAGGTCAGTGAATGGCAAGGCATTGCGCCCTCTGTGTCACTTCGATTTGCCGGGTTCAGACTACATATCAGCCGGTAGAAGGAAACCTGATATGACGGGTCCGGGAGGCGGATTGGATCCCCTAGATCCTGCAACCAAAATCGTGGAGTTCACATCCTTGGGAACCATGGTACAGAATACGATGCGGTTCCATGTAGCGAATCCGACGAACATCTCCTACGAATTTGTGTGGGATCGTGTAGAGGTGAGCAGGTTTTCATGGGAAGTCGTAGATAGGATTGTTATACACTTTTGCGGCACTGTGGACACGGCACAACAAACAAGCGCGATGATGGCTTTCAACAATGCGCCTACAAAAAGGAAAAAATACATTGCGCCGACACACCCGCATTTCATGAACTTGTCGACAAATATTCAGTCCTCCACCTCTTCAAGCAACCCCAACACGGCATATCGACCTCGCCGTCACTCACTCTAGCTTGTCCTCCTACCACTTCCCATACTGCCAAATGCGCTAGACTCTGAAATCCATGCAGATCACCACAAGCATCCTGCTCTTCTTGGGCAGGAGCTTGCCGCACATCTTGCTTTGGATCCACCCGTATTTGCTCCACACCCGCTCGCACATGCCGTATGATAAGGGACGAAAGCGGCTCCTCACAACCTGGCAAAGCCCCTAATCTTAAAGTGCGCACTATAGTAGTACGACAATAGAACAAAGCAATTTGTCCGCTCATTGTCCTAACAACAATCGTTGAACAACCCAAAACCCGGTTCCACATTAACATAATGAGGCACTCATCTTCAGCAACACATTGTATTATCAATTGTAATCGGCTGCGACACCACCTTCACTGCAGCGGCAGGTGACCCATGTCCCACAGGTGCAAGTGTGGATAGCGGTATTGTGCGCAACTCTAGAATCAGCTGTACTGAGCTCATTTTAAGGCGAGGGTGAAAACCAATAAGCAAGGGGGAGCCATACCAGGCGCGTCTACTGCGAGATAGGCCCATGAGCCGCATAAATATGCATAAACATGCATCATTACATACAACTAGGCGAGGTTACATAAACTACAAATGTACATTGACATGGGCCTAAATGCACAACGACTATCAAGCCTGACCGTGACCATTTCAGGTCGCACATAATGACAATACACCACTCCAAATGCACAGTTGCCCTGCTGCTATGCATTGCATATTATACAATAACAGACGGCACACAAAGAAATTTGTAATTTCAGAGTCTCCGATCTTCGATACCTCAGAGCTTGAAATATTTCTGAGGTATGTGCGACACGATCCGTGCATAGTGTGAGCAGCATCAGGATCTAGAAAGGGCAGCACATCACGCACGCAAAATCTGTAGTCGCCACGAGCATCATGCCCTTCAATTGACAGGCGTTGACCAGCTTAGTCATTTTTCGAATCAAAGCTTCAATCAGCGTTAGAAGTTCCAAAGTGAAGTCACTGAGAAGATTCCAACTTGGAATCTTTACTAACTGACGGTATGTCATAATTCATGATATGAAGTTTCATCGAATCGTCCTGAACCTTATGATACGCCCAGTCTGTTTCAATTGGCGTGTTCCTGAAAAGGCACAGACCACAAGTTTGATCGCGCCTGCGGCTTAACGTGTCCTTCCCTGTAAAGAAAGAGCACCTTACTGCAGTACTGTAATGAACTAATGTGAGCTACAATACACTTTATAGGTAATTTTAAGGCTGGGGTTTTCAAAACAAATGATCAAGCAGACTTAACAGAATGCTTCAATAATAGTGTTCCACTGTGAGAAATCATCCATGATGAGCCGTGACAACACATTCAATGGAGTGCACCGTCACTCAGTTGCATTTTATTTTCCCCTGCACATCTTATGGTGCGTACTTTAAACATAACATAATCATACCAAAGCTTGACATTAGCTCTGAATAACAACCATGATAATTTGTGCTTGTTCCACACAAGCCTTATCCCATATAATGGCATAAATTTGGCGCAAAGGTACCAAGTTCAGATGCGACAGCTTCTCCATTCAGCTGTCTGACAAGGAGGGGCGTCATGTCTGGGGGACGTCGCTATGAAATGGCGTTCGACTTCACACCCACATGCAGCAAGGTGCATGAATCGTTTTGGGTGTTTAGGGTGCCGGAGCATCGGATCGACTCCCCGTTCCTGCTGGTGAGGGTGCTGCTTCCCGAGCTGCATGGCTGCATTTTTGCAAAGTTGAATCCGATGCACTTCCACTGCCTAGGGAAAGAATGACTTGCTTAGGGTTTGCTTAATGCGCCAACCTGCATCTCGCATATGCGAGTGTTAAGTCCGCCTTCCTGTGCGCGAGCGCGCGCGTGTGTGTGTGTTTCGTATATGCGAGACAACTAAAAGATGCCTGTCTTTTAAGCGTGTGACTCGATTCACTTTTCTTTTGGCATTGGCTTCGGCAGAGAGGTAAACCGAATATTCGATTTGAAATGGTGCTTTGAAGCGCACTACTTATTCATTTGTAGTTCTCATTTTGAAGATTCCAATCTTTTGGAGCAAATTTTGTATTAGTCCGCGCTTGTTATATTAGGCAAAATTATTGGGAGCAAAGTTAAACGTGATTCCAACTTGATGGATCCCAAACACATCAGCCAAAGGATGCCAATCAAACGTTATGTGATCGACTGCGTCTGTATGAAGCACGCGTGGTGATGTTAACTTGGCAACACTGACACGGTATGCTTTAGGTGGGCCATGTCACGGAGCCCAACGTTGCCTTCGACCGACCAGCAATAAATTTCGGGAAATTACTTATCGGAGCTCGTGGGACGGTATTAGTGAGGATAGTAAACAACGAACATCTTCCATTCAGTTTTAGGCTCGACAAGACGAGCTATGATGCCAGTGATGACGTTGTAAAAAACACAGGTAATGCGATAGATACATGTTCGAATTTATCATTCTAATTTTTGAAGGTGTTTTCAACTGTGGTTTTTACTAACTAAAACCATTTGCAAGTTTGGTGGATTTTCGTGTTGAGTACATACTGTGTTGGAGCATTTTATTTTCTTTACGAAAGGCTTCACACAAGTAGAACTTGATGCCTTTATTCACTTATACTATAAGTGACTATTTGACTATTAGTCACCCCATATTGGTTTTGTTGTCGATATACTAGACTAAATCTTTTCAAACACCCGCCGCATTGGCTGATCGAAGGGTGCATTATTGGTTTTTGAGACGGGTGGCAGAGTGGGGAAGGATGAGCAAGGATTGGGGGCAGTTCGGTCTCAAAAAACACATGATTTCAAGCATTGTAATGGAAATGTGGCATTTTCAAAATCGAAACAAGCACAGCAGTACGCAAGAATCTAATATATTATATATTTTGGCTTGCAGGGAAGGATCCTGTCGTCAAGTTTCACCCGACTTCGGGGACAATTCCGCCCAAGTCAAGCATCGAAGTCGCTGTTTATTTCAGACCTCAGCTGGAAAAGTCTGTGAACCACAACGTTGTGTGTGTGGTCAACAAAAAACAAAATGTTTTGATACTCAACGTGAAGGGTGAAGGTTACGCCATTCATTCATCCATGCAGGTGGAAGGAAAGGACGGAGCATCGATTGAGCTTCCGCACAGTTCTCCGAATGGAATAAACTTTGGACAGGTGGGGCTGTGTGATCATGCATATGATATTTTATGAACATTACAGTTTTCTTGGGTGATTTTCATGCTGTCCACCTTATATCATTGCATTTGGAGCTATGACACACTTATAGGGTTTGCGTAATACATGAGATGCATGATGCATATACTTACTTCCTCCGTCCCATATTAATTGTCGTCTATTTGAGAGAGAAATCTCGTCATGAAAACTGTATCCAAATTACAATTGGAGGTCGGAATTGGAAAGATTGGGTCTCAAAACCCTTAAGTTCGAATTTTCAAGAAAAAATATTTAGTTCTCAGGCCTATGAGCTGGCCCCCAAAATTGCCTTGACACAGTCCAAAAAATGCGCGTTCAATTTCCGCGGTCTTGCAGGCCCCCCCGGTTTGGGGGCGCTCCCGTGCCTAGGGGTTCCAACGCCAATGGTTGCCACCTTTGGGGCAATGGATAGGGTCCGGCACATGACATAGCACCTGCCAAACACACTCAAACATGACTTTATCCTTGTCTCAAGTAGCCATCGTCACAGTGTTGACGATACCAGAAATCGCCGGTTTTCTCGATCTCCGATGGGGGGACCTCCAACGAGCGGAAAGGCCAACGTAAACAACCTTGAAGCCTAGGATCAGTGCGTTCTGTCGCTCGAAGGCTGTTTGGTAGCCTTGCTTGGATATTTCGCCTTAGTTGATGCTTGAATCGGGACTTGCATGGGCCCCTAAGCTGGAAGCCCCAAAATTGCCATTGTTTGTGGATACAGTGCCAAATGCTTGTGCGCGGTACACAATCCATTGGAACCTAGCAAGACTCCATCACTCTAGAAGACCCAAATTCACATTTGTGGCCATCCCCCTTGCACCCAATCCTCTAAAGTTCCGAAACAAGGATATGTCGCCATTCCCGTGGCAATTGCCAATTCACTAATTGTTTGTGCCATATCGAGGTGATAGCCATTACCATCTCCGGCTCCTAGTTAAAAGGATTGGGAGACCTCCCTCAGTTGCTTTGACAGTGGCAAAAGAACTCGAAAAGCCTTGACCTAAAAAATTTGCGTCTGAAACGTGACTCCGATCCCCCAGATCAAGCCTAAATTAATGGTGCGAGCCACGGCGAGTTCGACGATCAATGCATTCGAAACACGTTTTCTATCACCATACCTCTTTGCAAGCACCCTAATGACCTCCACTCTGAACAGCATGAATAGTTTTGCAAGGACGAGTTTGTTTCGCTGCCGTGAAGGAGTGCTCCTCAAAACAGCCAAAAACAGCTGTTTTTGGCGCAACGTCTAGAAACGACCCTTTTCTGGCCAGAGGACCCTTGCTACAAAGTACTGCCAAATCCTCAAAACTTAATGGATCAACTTGAAATTTTCATGGTACACTCCAACCTTCTAAAAACAACTTTAGGGAAAATTTCATTACAAAATAATGCAGGCACGGTAGAGAAACAACGTTTCAAAATCATAGACGACAATTAATATGGGACGGAGGAAGTATGTTTTATGCTGCAAAGTAAATCAGTATGCAACAGTTGCGATGCGTAATACAACATTCGGAATGCTGATTCGACACTTGTGTCTCGACGCCATTTTCAATATCTCAAACAGAGGCTATGAAACGGTTTCGGTGCAGGTAATTGTCAACGAGCGCAGTGTCAAATCCATCGCCTTGGTGAATTCTGGAGACGTAAACTATGACTTTAAATGGGATGTGGGTACAAACCCACGAATATCTGTGTACCCTGAGTCAGGGACGGTGGCAATGGGCCAGCGCTTTGCTTGCGATTTGTGCTATCATCCCCACGTTCCAGAAAAATTGGAGAGCTACAGGACTGTGTGTAAGGTTGCGAACGGTCCAAGATACATTCTGGATTTAAACGGGGTGTGCCACAAGCCCAGACTGGATATCAGCTTTTACAGGCATGACTTCGGCACCGTGTTCCTCTTCCAGCAAGGCATGAATCCAAATGTAAAGTCCCTGAGAGTGAGGAATGGAGACATTGATGACATCAGTTTTGAACTTCATTTCGACAGCAACGAGGACATTCAGGTGAAAATCTGATTCCTCTGTGCACACTTTCTTTTTCTTGCAATTTAACTGCATTAGCTGACTTTATTTTCAAATACGGCTGTATATACGCGCCTTTAGTTGAATAGGTGTTCTATAATGCGTTGATGAGCATAATGACACAAGTTGAACACAGCTGCGTTCAGCGCTTGTTTGACCCTTTTCTTAGTGAACTAATGTTCTAAATTATTCGGTGTATTGGGTTTATTTCTCACCATTTGTTTATATTCGAGTGCTCATTGGAATGCGATTGGCGGTTCTAATTGATGCAAACTGTCCTCACTGTCCATCACCCAACACTTGTAAGAGTTTCGGAAATTATTATGCTTATCTATATCCATGGAAATAGACGTATTGTATTCAACAAACCTGCTAAACCGTAATGCATGCGCAACTCTCTCATTGAAAATGGTGAAAACATGTTGCAATGCGGGCAAACGTGTTATTGGAAACAGTTGAGAAAATTACCACATGTCTTTTAGCAGAACTCTTTGGGGCACAAATGTACGGAACCTTCCCATGTCAGGATATGAAGGTCATGATTGCTATACTACCTCCGTCTCATAAGTCGTGCCCGATCTCGATTTTTTGCTCTAGCTTGGCAAGATCAACTCAATTATTCAACCTACCACCATATTTGGAGTTTTTGGTTGATTTTAGGTTGATGCGGGTCTTTCTATATTATTCATTACCATACAACTTGATATTTACAAAATTTTCAAAAATGCCCCTGTTCAGTTACATGCATGCCCACAATTTCCCACATTGATTAATTGGTCAAATTTCAGTATGCCCCAACTCTATTCACTAAAATTAATTAAGAACTTTTTTTAGACAACAAATAGGCATGACTGCACCCTTTTAATATTTTGACAACATTACTATCACACCTTTTAAAGATCGTCTCTTCCCGGAAATGCTGAATAGTGCTGCCGAAATTGTTTTTTGCAACAATTTTAGCCTCATTTGCTTCAATCTAGGGCGCTCTCTTAATTGATAACAGTATGTACAGCCTTCAAATATTGGTCAATCTGCAATATAGATGGTCTTTCAGTGATCAAAATGCCTTTTGGCCTTTGGCCATCACTTGGGCGCGGTTGTTGTCAACACACCAAATGTTGCAGCGAACTCCCAGTGCTTTTCCTCGCAAAATCTCTTTGGGATCAAGCGGAATCTTTAGTGCACACCAAACCATCAATGCATACTTCTCTTTTAATTACAGTTGAGATTAATCCACCTCTTCTTAAAGGCAATGCACACAGGTCTTACCCCACCTAGTTCCCGGAAAATTGAGTTGCGTTTAAGCTCCTCTTGGCATACCACAAGAAGAGTGGCATCATTTGGAATGTTTGAGAGCCCTACGAATGGCTCTTATTATGGCGCTTCGAAGTTGCTTCAGTGCAATGTTCTAATTCGCGCGTTTCGATCTCCATTTATGCAAATTGGAGATTAGGCATGACTTGTGAGGTAGAGATAGCATTTGGGGGGGGGGGGGGTCCTAAATAACTTAGGCTCAGTTGTCGAGCTGAAGTTTTTAGGTCTTAGGTTTGAAAACATGGACTTAGGGAAAAAAACATTTACTCACCCTTCATAACATTCTTGGCGCCTTCATGACCTTCATGACTTTGCGGTCATCATATTCGGAAATGGTAGTCACCAAACAAGCCTAGCTTGTTGAAAATAGAAACAGTATCGTTTTCAATACCTGCATTCGCGTGTTCTGTCTCACCATCTTGCCAGGTTGCACAACCCCTCAATGTTTTTGAAATTTTATTAAAACCGGGGTGCAGTTAAAATCATAATGATAGCACGTTCTTTGGCTCTAACACGTATCTGACATCCAGCGCATTCTGAAAAATGTCTTATTATACTCTTCCCTCCTGATATCCGCATTGAATCTCGTAGCTGTGAAGATGTTAGGCATAAATGTCATAAAGCTGTGAATTTATGGAATCCGTAAACATTATTTAGCATGCCTGTTTTGCAGCAAGCATTGACGCGAATGTCGGATTCTCAATGTTGCGGCACGCTTGCTACAGTAATTCAAAAAAAATGTGGCAATCATTTGTCCAAACCCTTTCAGGAAAAGCGGTACAAACAAGTACTGCAAAATGCTGAGCCATATGGCACTTTCTTCCATATAAACAGGGTTAAAAATGAACAGCTCTTGCTACATCTACCACTGGTTTACGACCGTATCTGTACGGCGTCTGTTCTGTGCATGCGGAATAAGCTGAATGAGGGAGACGTCAGTGTATTGCACAGTGGAGCCATTGCGTGGTGGAAAAGCACAGAATGTATGACATGGCGCTTCTGTGCAAACTGTCAGGTGGAATGCCCTCCTACCATCCTGGCTCCTGGGGATTATAGGGACATGAACGTCGTCTTCACCCCTACAAGACAGGGAGTGATTGATGGGACGCTGAAACTGGAAGTAAATGGACTTTACACTGTGAATATTTTCGTTAGAGGTGAAGGGACTCCTCTCCGCGTAGAACTGGAGAAACCGTCGCAGAAAAACGTAAAGCTGGGTGCTATTGAGCAGCATAGTTCTGCCACGAAAGTTGTGAAGATCATCAACAGGAGCAAAATCTCTGCGACTGTATCTCTCCTTCCATCCGCTGACAGATTTCGTGAGCGGGGCATCGACATGTTGCCAGCCGTGGATATGTTCTTGAGGCCAAGAGAAAGTGGGGACGTCACGCTATTCTTCCGGCCCGGTGGCCGTCAACCTCACTTTCAGGAGAACTTTGAGGTGGACGTGGCCAACATTCGTATGTGTCTTTTCTCCGTGTCTGGTGCCTGCATTGGCACAGAGGTGCGTCTGGCAGGCAACAGCATTCCCTTTGGCCCGGTCACGAAAGGCTCCAGGGCGTCGAAATTCATGAAGCTGGAGAACACCGGCGACACAGGGACCAAGTTCAGCTGGGAAACTTCAAGGCTGACACCCAATTTCAGCTTATTCCCCTCAGAAGGTTTTCTTTCTCCAGGGCGCGACGTCACTTTGGATATTACGTTTCACCCGGAAGCAGTTTCCGCAGACATCAGGTTGGAGAGGGTGCGGTGCCGCATTAACGGTGGGCAAGATCAATTCCTGACCCTGACCGGATCCTGTGTGGAAAGTGAGGCAGAATCAGAAGAACTTCTCTTTTCATGTGTTGTTCGCGCCTCGCTGCAAAAGCACATCAGCATGTCCAATGATTCGAACACAAACTGGTTGCTGAGGCCCGTCATTCAGAACGACTACTGGTCAGGACCAGAGTTCATGAATGTTCCCGCACAGTCCTCCGCCGACTACCCAATCACATACAGTCCGTTGACGATGTCTTCCAAAGACAAGCCACACACTGGGTCGATCTTCTTTCCTATTCCGGACGGTACCGGTAAACTGTTCAACTTGAAGGGGGTGGCGGAAAACCCGGTCGCCGAAGATACAATTTCAAGGACTCTGCCGTCGAAAACGCAGCACGTGGAGGAGCTGAAGGTGTCCAATTGGGTGCAGAGACCTCAGAGGTTTAAAGTGAGTATCGAGAAGATCCAGTGCCACCCATCAACTGTCATCCAGGGAGCAGGATATATCGACGTGCCTCCACTGTCCAAGAAGATTTACAAGGTCAACTACTGCAGCTACACGGAAGGCGTAACATCGGCAAGGGTGTCATTTACGAACGAGTCCACAGGAGAGTACCTGTTCTACGAGCTGCAACTAACCGCTGGACCGGCTCCTGTTCAGGGGTCTATTGCGTTGGAGTGTCCTGTACGAACGCAGACGCAAAACACCATACGGATCCTAAATCCCTTGGAGTCCGCTGTAGTCATGCAGGGCACGTCGACAGACAGCCAAGTCGTTCTTCCCAACGACATTACGCTGAAGCCTGCTGGCGTCTGCGAAGTTCAGCTGGCATACCGTCCCCTCCTTGTGGCAGAAAAGAAAGCCGCCCTCGTTTTAAAGTGCGAGGAGTTGGGAGTGTACGAATATGAGCTGAGTCTGAAAGGTGTGCCCGCCGGGCCGGAGCAGAGTCTGTCTTTCAGCGTTCCGCTGGGCAGCCAAGAGACTCAGATGTTCCGATTCACGCACTGGCTGAATTCCAAAGTCGAATACAAATGTTACTTCCGTAGCGGGTCGTCCGCCGGCACAGGAGATTCGCCTTTTGGCTGTCCAGCTGCCGTGACGGCGGAAGCGGCGGGTTCTGGCGGAAGGAAAATTGAGATGCCGGTAACTTTCGAGCCGGAGATGCTTGGAGAGAATGCGAGAGACACCTTGATTGTTGTGTCGTCGGAGGCTGGCCAGTACGAATGCCCTGTGGTTGGAAACTGTGTACAACCCAAGCCTCAGGGGCCTGTCGACGTGTCTCGAGGGTCTGCAACCGTACAGTTCAAAAACGTTTTTGCCGGGGAGGCAGAATTTCTGTACACTGTCGACAACCCGGCGTTCAGCGCGAAGGCTTCTGAGAAGATCGGAGCAAAGAAGACTACGACCATTCCCATTGCGTACAAACAGGAAGGAAGCAATGGACCAACCGGCAGGCTTGCAATTACGTGCCCGAGTAAAACTGAGTCAACATGGGTGTACTATCTTAGGGGATAAAATGGATTGCATGGGAGCACGAAACGTGTACTTCGTTGCTGGGGAATTAAAGAGTGCACAGTTGCGATATTCACGAATGAAAAGTTCAGCATAATATTTCAACAAGTTGGTGGCAAAAAACTGTATTAGAGGGCAACTTGGTGCCGTATGTCAAATACACAAGGGATTTCTGCGTGGCATCACTGTACAAACGCTCAAGAAGATTGTAGAGATGTTGCGCTACATGGTTTATCAACGACCTTGCGTGCATGAGGCATGTGAATTCTGGGACGAAAATGCCTCAAAACTGCGCTGACCAGACCATCGTTCACATAAAATTGCGATAGAAATCGGTGATTGGGTCAATGAGTTGCTAGACCAAGATAGCAGCTTGAATGCCGTCATGGACAGGAATGAGAAGGGCCGTCCCAGCGAACGTCCCGGTGATTGAACGCACTAGGTTCACAACGATGGTCAGCAATTTTATGTGCTAATGAGCACGCTGACTCCAATTCCATTGCAATGGCATTTGCAACGGCATTCAAAACGTGCTTGTTCATTGCGGTGCATAACACAACAATATCCACGTATGTTTGCGCGTGGAACGTCAATACATCAAACGACTCAGCAGCGGTGGTACGATGTTGCACCTGTGAAGGAGGAGCCGGGACGCCCTCATCAACAGTGGAATCGAGCCATGGTATCATGCGTTGTTCTCGATGTGGTCATTCGCGCTGTGGGACATTTAATGGCTCGCAGTCTGAGTGCGTTGCGCGATGCATGGTGCGCTGTGCCACGAACGCCAGGAGACATTACTGTGTGTGATGGGCTGCATGTCGAAAATCCATTTCGATTATCCAAAGATGGAGCTCACACCACATTTTGGCATATCAAGTGTCTCCTGGGCTGGTTATTTGACTCACACCTCAGAATAATGAAAACCAAACGTTGTATGCATGAGGCGCAGTGCACGCCTCCAGGTGTTCATCGTCTATCTTACCGTGCATGAATTTGGTCGGGTGCAAATATCGTGGACAGTGCCAAAGCAGAACCGCTAGTAAAAAACAGGCCAGATGACACATTTCTGACACGGTCTACTCAAAATCCAACTGTGTGCTTTCGGCAAAATGTGGTCCCGAAACCACATGGTTAGTACACATACTGACACAGTTTCAAACGCGTACCCTGGAAAATCGTGTAGTCTACACAGTTGTCTGAGAGTACACAGTTGAAATATGTCAATGTGTATACTAACTGTGTGGTTTTGGGACCACATTTTCCAAATACACACATTTGGATTTTGAGCAGACCGTGTCAGGAACGTGCCATTTGGGTTGTTTTTCCTAGTCCATGCATTGCAATACGACTATTTGGTGCCATTTGCCTGGCGTTCTTTGCTGTTCTCAGGAATCATAGTGTGTCAGCATGGATAGGAGAAACGACATCCCCCTACCTAATATATTGCCCCACTTACGTGTCCCCCAGAAGTGGCGTTGGCCAAGCACTGCTAACCAGGCATGTGTAGAAAAGGAAAGGCGCCGGAGACCAATCCTCAGTTTTTCCTGTAGTTCATGTGCTGCACAGAATGCATTGCACAACAGAAGTGCGTTCCTTGAACCACCACTACTATGCGGCAGAAAGTCCTCCTTTGGCAAGACACCATGTCGAACTTTTTAGGCCTTGCGTCAAATTGACGTTCAGGGGAGGGGTGCATCCCTGTGGCGCCAAGAGCTTACATAATTGCCGCAAAATCGACAAGCATTCCGAAACGGCCGGTTATGTGGTCCTTTCTTTGCTGGTGCAAAACTCGCAAACGTATGGACCAATTGGCGGGTGGCTTTGGCCCCCTCAGCACATCAATGAACGCAGGTAGCTTTGTCCATCTGTATCTTGTTGAAGGCATGGCCATTAAAAGCCATCATTGGAGTGCGCCTGGAATGCAGGTGATTGCACCGCTTCCTTGGAGTCCACCACGGCCATCCTTGGACCAACATCACAAACGAAACGGGGCATACATATTTGTTCGCCCTTCCCACAGCAAAGAGCCTTGCCGACGGTGGCAACCAGCCCCACGACCAAACAGTTAGAATCCCCTTGCACCTACAGAACTCTCCTTTTCATGTGACAAGAACCATCATCCATCACCAGCCCGGCATGCGCCACTTCAGAGATACCCATCCACTTATTCGACCCCCAAGGACAGTCACCAATCACAAATTCGCGTACAGCAATTCAGCCACATACCACCTCATCACTAAGGTGCAGCCAATGTGTCAAACATGCCATCACCATACGGTAACTTCCAAACGCCCCTACTGCAAAACACAAGTACAACAATTTCTTTCAAGCCAAAGTGAAATAGAGGGCGGTCATAGTGTTGTGAAATTCGGGAAAGACGCATCCAAAGCTTACCCACAAGAACCTTTGCACCTTGTAGACAAAATACCATGACCAAGGCATTCATCTCTGAATTGCATGGCGTTCTTTCAAAAAGCTCATGTCGTCCCCAACAAAGATGAGCCTTAACGACAACTACCTCTGGAACCAAATTAGCACAAAAGATTCCTGAATTCAATCAAAGAAATGGCTTTCGGAGATTTTCATGAACATGCCTTTTATCTTTTTGCCACAAGCTGCCAAACTTCAAGCAAAGAAGTACGCGTAAGCTAGGAACCCGCCAGCTCAATGCCACACCAGGAATAGTGAGATCCCGGCATGAGTACCCTGTGCATGTTTCATAACAATATTTCTCGGCAGCAGTTTCTTTTTCGGCTCATCTCAAGCGGCAAAAAAATGCATAACAGTCGCTAGCCATCAAGCGTAAGTGATCCACCCTGTGAAACAGTATGTGCCTAAGCGAGCAGTCCACAAACAACGTTATTCGCACACAGGGGGTTTCTATTGAGCCGGTGTGAATGCTCCTTACGGCAAATGCAATGTCCACAAGTTCCTCTGGGATCCACTGGGAAAGAGGGAGTCCGGCTAACCTTTTCGTCAACTTCGCTGTACTAGCTGGAAGCGTTACAAACTGTTCACAATGCAGCCTCTTTAAGGGACAGGGTAATACCCAGTGGAAAATGGGACACAAGAATGTAGCACAGCTGTTCGAGCGCGAGCACCTTTCTTCGGCACCTCACCTCCACGCGCTGTGGTGTGTTTCCAAGCATGGTGCTGACACAGCTATGGCAGCTGTGAGTCATTCTATACGGGGGCAGTGCAGGTTGCTGAAGAACAGCAGCAGGTGCGAGCACAACTCCACCTCGTGGAGGAGTCAAAAGCGCTCCTGTGCTATCGACATTGCGAGATTTAGCATTATTACCTCATGATCTGGATAGTGCAGTTTGGACAACAGTTGAGTTATCAACACGCAGGCAGGAATTGTGCGTGTGCGTGTTCTCATTTATGGTCAAACTGCTGACCCGTTCCTGCACAACATTGGTGCCCCGTGAACACTGCCCATCAGGCAAGCCTGGGGTGAACCGTATCCCTACTGTGCGGCCTAGCTGTTGAGAAGTTGAAAACCTGATACCCGTTGTCATCGCCATGATACAGCAATAATGTGGGAAATCTGCAAGCACCTGACCGATTGTAATGATGGGTTAATGGTAACGCCACTCTTCCTTGCTGCAGACAGCGCAAACTGCAATGCAACGGTTACTCTGCTGCCTGCCTCGGAGGATGAGGATGTGTTCCAAATACCTACAAGTCTGCTTGTGACGAACTCCAGCATGGCGGCCATAAGGACCAGTCCTGTGTGTACGCCAGGAAATTCGCCTGCTGCACTGCCCATGCGCCCCACGGCGCTGTGGCGTCCACTTCAAAAAAGCGCATTTCACAGACAGCCAGCACCACCGCCAAGCCCTCTCTATGGTGGAGGGAGTCCACAGAGTAATTGGCAGTCAAAAGGCCAGCACCAAATACAGCCACACATTCGTTTACCTTAGTCAGCCTGTCACTACACCATGCCATTACATGCGCTGCATGGAATCCCGCTGTATATAACGTATCACCACTTACTATGACCAAAAACATCCCACACAAGCTAACCATCAGCCCGCATTACTATTCTCTGTGAAAACGATTCACATCAACACCACCAAGCGGCAACCCACTCCAAAACAAGTGAACCATCAAATTCGCCCCAATGGCTCAGTTCTGCATTCCCACGAAAATCAGCATCATGCTTTTCCCCACGAATTACATTACATGTATGCTAAACGCCAAAGTACCCGTCAGTCCTTCGCTGCAGCAGCATCCGTTCGACTCTGGCATGCGTCTACAACCCTGCTCACCCCTGTTTGAGCTTCTCCATTCAACTGACCATCTTTGTCATCAGCACACCACCCCTCCAAAGCCCCCAGCGATAATTTGTTCATCGTCATAACAGGGTGGCGGATCCCCCCCTTCCAGTTTCTCTTTGCCCCTTTGCCTATTCACATTGTTTTCATGGGGACTAATACTGCATGCACCGGGAAGTTCCGCAGCATGCAGCTCGAGCATGGGCTGAACCACCACATCAATGTACTCACGATCGCACATTTCAGTGCCGCTGTGCAGTGCAGTGAAAGGCACAGCAGCTGATTGGGGCTCTGGCTCGTCCTGCTGCGGCTCACAGTTGCCAGCACTTGGCTCTCTCATCTCCGCACACTTTGCTGGTGGCATGCTTGACATGACCTGTGCTTTGCCCTTGCAAACTTTGGGTGAGGCTGTAGCAGACAGGCCATCCAAAGACAACTGGGCTGGACAGTACACTGGGGAATACTCTTGCTTACTGGAGCCCCCAATCGGGGCCTTGCTGGCGGGCGGTATTTGTAGCACTAAGCAAGACGAGGTCTGCACAGCACCAGTGAATACAAAGCCTTGCAAGGCACCCTGCGCTTCCAGGTCCTGTGTAGGGAACAGCACAACATTCCTGGTGCCTCTCTCCCTCTCAACAACAGACAATGTCCTTGGCTCCGTGGCACCCAGTATCTTGTGCTTGTTTTTGGGTTCCATGACACCTGTCGTCTTGCGCTCATCTCGCAGTGCCTCGTGGGCTCTGGAGCTGGGCTGTGCCTCCTCAGGTACAGTCATATTCAGGGCTGTGTGCCTCAAACTGCCTGAAGAAGTAACCGACAAGCACCGTCTCCAGGGTGAGCCAATGCCAGAACTGCTACTCCTGTGACCAGGAACTTCCGTAGCTCCACCTAACGATGACAGGTCTTTTGCACTCACTTGACTTCGATGATGCTTTCTGTGTTGAGCAAGTGCCGCCTCCATTGCATGCATATCACAAGCAGATGGGATTCGGCCGAGTTTCATGTGTGCATTTTCATATCTTTGCAGCGTTGACAGGAACTGTCCTGCCATGGTGAGGCGATGCTGCATGTCCGTCTGTGGATCAAATACCAAACTTTCGTCCCCTTCACCAAGTTGCTGCCACAAACTGCCAGACTTCATATCCCCACCATGAAGTGTTGAGGAGTCACAAGCAGGACAGCAGGCACACTCCCCAGCAGTTATCCGAAATCTGACTTTCAGGCTGCCGAATTCTTGAGGCAAATCTACAATCCTTGTCACATCGACATTAGGCAGCACACCATCTTTTAACAAGCTCACATCGGACCATTTGGAAACGTCGGCCTGCATGCCCGGCTGATGTTCTTCATTTACAGCTTCAGATACAGCAGGAAATGGAGAGACACGATGGCCACCTAATGCCAAATGTATTGATGCTTGATGTCCCACAGGTGCTTGGCCATCGACCACAGCACGTGCAGCACCATAGGTATGCTCTTCTGTCAAATGGACCCTGCTTGCCACACAGCTCTCTTCGCTGGAATTAATGTGGTGATTCGTCCATAGTTGTTGCGTGTCCAAAGCAACCTCCTTTCTCAGGTTGGTCTCTTTCACTTCATCACCCCTCACAATGTTGAAAGAAGGTGACACTTCAGCAGTATCCCAACTACCTGCAAACAATCTCCCACCAGCCAATGCTGTAACACCAGCAGAGTTCCCAGAGATGGTTCTAAGAGCTTTCCGGCTCCGGGGGTCAGCATCGTCACTTCCTGATGGCATTTCCTCCACAACTGTCTGGGACCTATCCTCTCCACGCCCCACCTTTGATGCACTGCCCAGATCACAGTTCCGATGGAATTGCATTGCACGGTTACTTCCTTCGGGCATCTCCACCGGGCCCAGGGTGCCGCCAGAATCCGCAACATCACTGGGCACCCTGTTTCCCAGGGCAACAATCTCATTGTCCCCTGCCACCGGTTGCTCCTGCACACAGTTGTCAGCCAATGATGGCCTCTGCCTCTTCTGTGCCACCAGGCCTTTGTGCCATACCATGCACTCGTTTGCACTTCCCTTTTCAACCTTTGGCTTTCCTTCTGCAGTTGTAGTTCTTGCCTCGGGCTTTGGCTGGACAGGTGCCTGTAATGGTGGCGTGACCCGTTCAGCTCTTGCTTCTTCCTTCAAAACAAACCAAGCGCATGCTCAAGTGAGTCAACGCCGGAACACCGATCCGGCACAAAGCGCTGCATCATAAGCCTACAAATGACCAAGATCCACAACAGGCAACCACAGCCATGGGCGCCTATCTCCACTTGAAAAAACAACCTCTGAGTGCCCCTACCCGACGGCGTTCTCCACGTCACGGCCTCGTGGTCTAGCAGAGAAGCGACACATTATCTCCTCTCTCCCCAAAAGACACGATGCACGCTCGCAGACCCCGCCAGCTGGTCTGTGCATGGGGCCTCACGGCAGCGGCATTGGGCCGTTTCCCACGCAGGCGTCACAGCCAAAATCAAATACGACAGCGCTCAATTCCAAAGTCGCTGTGGCACAGGCCTGGCCTACCCATTCGTGGCTCAGCCCATTGGCAAAAGCATTGAATGTGACCCCGATTGGTGGCCCGCCGTAACCTGTGCCCGCCGCTCTCACTTCCGCGGGCGATAGGTACATCCTCCACGACAGGACAGCTTCTGAGCACCCAAATTCAGCTGTTGCGAGCACTTCGTCTTCTGAAAGCTGCCGGCCAGACAGGAGCTGCGGCTGCGTCCTTGGCAAGGCCGGCAGCGCCAGGTGGAAAGTGTGTCGCGCGCTGCAACGGGATAATCAGCGGGTCCGCATGAGGAATCATATGCACACCTTAATGCCCCAGTGCTGCACATCGACATCCTTGCTCCCCTGCCAAATCGCCATGGAGCAGAGCCATGCAGCAAGGTGTTTCAATGCAGCGGCCCAACGCCAACGTGCTCCTGCCGTTGTCTCCGATGTCGCTCTTCTTCTTGCCGGCTTGCATGGCGTCTTTCCTCAGACCGTCCCCCCCCCCCCCTCCCCCAAGTAAGAGTGGGCATCCAGCGGTAACTTCCATATGATTTTCTCTGAAGCTAGAATCATGTTTCTCCATTTCACTGTCGTATTAGTTGGCGATGTGCTGCTGCCTGTTTCCGTGATGTATTTGGTCCTATTGCCCTGATAAAATGGCCCATCTCCCTTCCCAAGACGCTTGTATTTGTGAGGCTCGATACCCGAAAAGAAGTCAAGCCTACTATTGGCAAAGACAAAGGCGAGGGAGGGTGGCAGCAAATTTGCAGACCCGCCAACCAGATTACAGCTCCCAGAGGTAACCAGCAAGTGATGCTGAAATTGCATGAAACACCGGGAAAAGTTCTGGCAGGTGCCACAAGAACAAATGCAAATGGACTGCAAGGGGAACATTGCAGTCAAAGGAACTTGCATGCACAAGGCCTGGAGCTAGTTCCTCCAATGTGCAGGACTGGGATGCTCAAAAGACAGCGCTGAAGTCACCACCATCCAAGCCTGCTACAAAGGTATGTCCACTTGCAGTCTTTGCTCCCGATCTCCAGCCATTCTAGCAGATCACAATCGTTCCAGATTAGATGCACTTCGGCCACTTGACATAGACGAGCCATCAGCAGAGGTGGGCCGTCCAGGAACGGGGACGGACTAGGAACGGGGATGGGAACGGGAACGGGGACGGACCGGAGTCCGTTCCCGTCCTTGGGCCGGCAGGCCCAGGAACGGCCAAGGAATGGCCCGTCCCTGGGCTGGAACGGACTCGGGACGGATCGGGAATGGTGTACTGCCGTCCCAACTCCGTTCCGGCGCAGTACGGCCCACCTGGGCGTCCGTTCCTGTACCGCTCCATGCCATGCCTCCCTCCGTTCCAGCCTGTCATAGAGTCCGTTCCTACCCGGCAAAATCACACGTGGGCCAATCAGAATTGTATGATGCAGTTGGAAGCGCCCGTCTTGCATTTGTTGATCAATGATGGGTGCTCCCAAGCAGAGGTGGGTTGTCCAGGAACGGGGACGGACTAGGAACGGGGACGGGAACGGGAACGGGGACGGACCGGAGTCTGTCCCCGTCCTTGGGCCGGACAGATTCGGGATGGATTTGGGACGGATTTGGGACGGATTTGGGACGGACTGGAACGGACTGGAACGGGACCGTTCCTGACTCAGGAACGGACCCAGGAACGGGGCCGTTCTTGGGGCAGGAACGGACACCATTCCCATCCCAGGAACGGACCGTCCCTGGGACTGGAACGGACACCATTGCCGTTCCCGTTCCTACCAACTTTAGACGGGCCCAGCTATGCTCCCAAGTGCGTCATGCAATTCCTGGCCTTCTTGCCACCACACATCGTTGCCGCCTTGTGGGGAGGCGCTGGTGGTGCTCACCATCGGTGGCAAGCACAAGGACGGACGCGGGAGGCACGTGGAGGCGGAGGCAAGTGCGGTGAGGCGACGCAACCTCACCAGTTGTGTGAAATCGGCACTCAAAGCGCCAATTGAGAGGCATCGGAGAGGTGCTAGAAAAGGGTGAGATCTGGGCGGCCAAGTGTTTGCTGACCCGCACGGTCAACAAAGGGGAGGGGGCGGGGGAGGGAAGGGCAGAATGTGCCAAGAGAAAGGGAGGGGAGGCGGCAATAG